GCGTTATCACGCGTCCAATTTTTTTCTTTCTATTTCCCTTCATTCAAAACGTGTGTGGGGTTCCACCGTTTGAATCTCTTTCCTTCTCCTATTTTCTTCATTCAAACGTGTGTGGGTCCCACACGTTTGAATCTCTTCTTCTTTTTTTTTTCTTTGACCAACAATAAAAACGTGTTGTTTTATAATTTTTTTTCTTTTCAAATGTGTGTGGGTCCCACATGTCGGAGGGACCCCACAATAGGAACTGGATCAAGTTCTCAATGAATAGCCTGACCCAGATACTGGTTGGCCATTTCGGCCTTCAATTTAAGGTAAATGTGCATATTTGAAGTGCCTTGTGATGCCCTTTTACCAAACGATTAAAGAAGAAGTTGATAGTAATAAAAATGGGACTAAGCCATATTCGGCTTGGAGAAACTACGAGGATCTAAATGAGTTCTTTTGGAGTAGGAGGTGTTTTAAAAAGTTGGGATGACCTATTAATTTTGGTCGTAATTATTTTGCTACTGTTGAGAAAGCTAAGAGAGTAGGCAAGACTAGTTTGTGGAGCAGAGGTTGTTTTGGAATGTTTTTAGGAGTTTTGATAAGCTTTGGGCTTTGCTGATTTTGTTTTTGCAGTCTAGTCTAATTGTTGCTTGGGATGGTACTGACTATCCATGGTAGGCATTGAATAAACGTGGTGTACGGGTTGAGTTGTTGACATGTGCTTTGCAATCAAGGGAAGATTTTGTCATTTTTTAAAAATTCCTCTCAGCTCTCCTTGTCTTTTTCTTGTGATTTAAAGGAATATAACCTTCAAATTAGACGGAGGGATTACTTAGGTTGACATGTAAACGTTAGAGAGGCTTTGAATATTCGTTTAAAACGAGAAAACTATTTAAATAATTTTGTTAAATTTTAGAGACTAAACAATTAATTTTTCTATATATAATCATGAATTATTTAGTTAATTTGATTTGATTTGCAATTTTGAATATAAATACTAAATTATTTACATATTTAGTAGATAATGACTTTAAAATTATTACTTTCTTCTTTGGTATAAACTTGCTTTGAGTTGTTTTTATAGAAATACATTGTAGTTTAAAAATATTGTATAATTATGTTAGTATGTATTTTTATTTTACTGGTTGTTTTTCTTATTAGGAAATTTAATTTTTTGTTGATTTTGATTATGATGATGATAATAACGATTATGTTAAAAAATTTAACTTTAATATTATTATTGGAATATATTTATAGTTTGTGAAAATTAGTGTATAACTAAAATTTTAAGTATATTTAATTTTTTTTAGTAATTTCTCTTAAATAGTTGTATTTTATTTAAAAATATTATTATTATTATAATTTATTTGACTTGCGGGTTTACGATGAATCTGTATCCAATCCAACTCATTTATACCCGCGAGTCCATACATTTAATTAGTTGGGTTAGGTCAAAAAAAAAAAATAGTCCGCAGATATGAGTCAAGTACTTTAAATCAATATGTCCAATCCACGTACAACCCTAATATGTGCATCCTGTGTAGAATAGAAATGCCAATAAAATACTCACATTTGGGTTTCCGTGTCCTTTAAAAAATATTCAATTTATTTAATTTATAATAAATTATTAAATGAATTGATTATACTTCCCTTAAAATATCTAAATTACAATAAATTATTAAAGAAGTGAAACAATTACTACCTTTTATATATAAAGAACAAAATAGAAAAGGTGATTTATTATTTATAAAATCCACAAATGTGATAAGTATTTAAAAATATAGTAATTTTTCATAATTATTTAAGAACGAAGGGATTTCTCTTTCATTTATTCAAGCCAATGAAACAAAAATAACCAAATCGCTTCCTCTTTTCTATGCAAATGCATCCTTTATTTGAATTTCTCCTAATAATTTGAAGGAAGAATGTGAAAAAAAATTACAAGAAATGGGTCGAAAAACCACAGGAAATTGAATATGCTTGTTGTGCTTGTTGTTGTTGTGAAAGTGAATCTATATACCTACACAAAAGCTGAAACAAAGAGAAAGTTTCAAGACGTTCTCTTTGTTCAGCATTCTATTTTTCTTTTTTTTAGAAAATTTTTATTTTTTTATTTTTCTGTATTTTGATTGGCCAATTTTTTCAATTTGAAATTTAATGTATATTAGTTATAATTGATGATTTAAAAAACCTATTCTAATCATCTATCCTACAAATTTTCATTTTTTTTTTTCTTATCTATATCTATAAACGTATTTATTTATCTATATATATTGAAGCAAACAACTATCGTCTATAGTTTTATTTTTAAAGGTAAATAGAAGTGGTATAAAACACAACAAGCTTTTCTTTCTGGGAAAATTTTACCTAGACCGAATTCATGGTCTTATTTATTGACCAAACCAATAAGAATAAAGTTTATTATTGAAACGAGGGTATTTCTGACCATACACTAAAACAATAGATAAAATAGGAACATTTTTTAAAGAATCTTTATTGTGATTGGTTTGGTCCATACGTGTGACTATGGACCCGGTCTAGGCAAGTAATTTCCTTTTTTTTTTTTTTTGTCTTCTAATTTACAATTGACTCAAATAATTCACCTTATAATAATATTTCAAATAGTCTAGGAATGAAATAATTTATTTTTTCCTTATATGTATAATTATTAATTTTTTTAATAAGGAATGGACAAAACCCCATAAAGAAAGCAATAGAAAATTACATGAGAACTATTCATAGCCAGCAAATGTTTTAACTATCCCACCTAATAATATCAAGAACTGGAGTACGAGGATCAGTATCATTGCAAATGACAAACTGTACCAAAAAAAAATATATATATATATATTTTTATTTATTTATTTATTTATTTTGGTGTAATTATAACGTTTAGAAGTAATTAAATTATTTTAAGCTTATATTTACTATTTTAAAAAATGTAAAATAAAAAAAAAATTCTAAGTCTTGTTCTTATTAGTATTTTTTTTTAACTGTAATTTATTAATTTACGAATAAATTATATAAAATTTTAGTAAAGACATCAATCATCAATTTAGATTCTCAAAACTAATACCATGCTTAATTTTATTTAAAAACTCAAATTCAAATTTTTTGTATAAATTAAGTTTCAAATTTAAATTCGTAATCTGTCTAAATTATTATGAAAAAATATATTAAGTTGACTTTTAAAATCATTATTTAAATCAATAATTTTCTAAATAATCATCGATTTGTGATTAAGCATAGGGATTAATTATTGTTATTAAAAAAACTTTTTCAATAAAAAATTGCAAATTAAGGACTTTTCATAGTAATTGAATAATAATAATCATTAAATAATATTTAGATACATGCGCATGATAAGCGCAGAATCACAACTAATTATAAAAATATAGTTGTTTATTTTTAAAAGATATAAATAAAATATTACTTTTGACAAAATAAAGGACAAAATTATAAATTAAAAAAGGTTAACGTAGGGATTTAATTTAACTCATCTTCCAAGTTAAAACATAACCTCGCAATAAGTATATGTATAACTTGGGCTCCATTTGTTTCCGTAAAATAATTTGTAGGATAATATTTTTCACAAATTTCCATTGTTTGGGGTGTTCAGAAAAATAAGTCAACGGTCAAAAGAAAATTAAATTATTTTTTAAGGAAAATAATTTTCTATTTTGGAGAGAGTAAAACATTGTCCGGACATAGACAAACCTTATAAATCTATATTTTTTAATTTATTAATTATCGTAGTTACTACCACTAGTCACCATTTAACACCGACTACCACCATCGGTGGTCACCACCATGAGCCACTAGCGACTTTCATAATTTATATATATATATATAATAATTTTCTATTTGGAGAGAGTAAACACTGTCGACATAGACAACCTTATAAGAATCTACTATCGTTTTAATTTATAATAATACGAGTACCTACCCACAGTCACCATTTAACAGACCCGCACCAACCATCGGTTACCGACATGACCCACGTAGAGCGACTTTCATAATTAATATATATAACATATAATAAAGTATATGTATTTGCCATTTGTCTGCAATTACAATAAAGATTAAATGAAGAAAATTCTATTAATTAATAATTTATAGTCCTCCTGTGTGTATATAATAAAATAAATATAGAAATGATATAGGATTCGAACATATATATGAAAGCTGAAATAAAGAGAAAAATCAAAGCTCTTCCTTTGTTCAGCATTCTATTTTTCTTTTTATAGAAAATTTTAAAATTTTTCTTTTTTTTATTGTTATTGGATAATTTAAATATTTGAATTAATATTTTACTTATAGATTTCCAGATTGAATTATTTGAATTGTTAAACAGTATATATTATAACTATGGACACCGTATTTGAATTATTTAAATTATACACTACCTAAAATTACAGTTTCTATCAAACACTACTCCTTTTATATCTTCCATAGTAATTCACCCTACCTTTATACTTGGGATTTTTTTTTTTCTTCTTTGTTTAAATCTGCTCCAGAAAGGTTCTCTCCACACTCTTAATCACTTGATCTTTTCTTTAATTTATCATTGTTAATACACGAATTTTCCTACAGTATCTGCTTTTAATGAGTATTGACGGAAACCTATTAGTCAGGTAATTATTTGTTGTTTGTAGTACTAATACTAAGACATGGCTCTTGCTCTTACTGTTTAGCTATTAAACTAAATATTTGACTAATGCAGGTTGTTTTGACTGAAGCAAAGGACAAATTGATGTACAACTTAAAATCATGTAAATGAAATTTTTCGAGATAGCAATTTGTGCATGGTAATAGCACCATACCATGCATGTTTACTAAAAAGTGCAGGACACATTCTCTCCTTAATTTCAGTGGAAAAATATCTAAAAGCTGAAATTTTTAGAAATTAATTGATTTCTACTTCTAACAAGTTATTTAAAAAAAAAATAAATGATCACTAATCCATATTTGAAACTCCTCCCCAATGCTTAAAAATAAAAGCCCATCCTAAATCAAAACTATGTCGTTTTTGTCTAGGAGGCATAAAGTTTTCGATCGATCCAATCCCCATTTTCCAAAGCTTGCGGTTGCAGCTTTCTTCCTTCTGCCTAATGCCCAAAAATTGAATCCGCGGGATACTCAACAAACGGCCATCTAAAGCACTCGAAACAGGTCAGTTTGTTTCGCCTTGCTTCTGTCTTCTTATTCCTCGCGATTCAGAGTTCATTTACTTTTTTTTTTTTTTTTTTTTTTTTTTGTTCTTTTCTGATAAAAATATCTGCTGTTGCAATTGAATATTATTTGGTACTTGTTTTCATATGATTTTCTTTGACGTTTTGTTTAATTTGTATTTATTTATTTGGATTTAAAAGATCATTATTGATATGCTTAAAACTTAATTCTGAATCGTAAATGGGAACTTGTAAATTGGACATTTGTGAATGATTCTTGATTGATCTTCCTCAGATAGGGAGGTTGATCCTAGCTGATGCTGGTGGGATACAAAAATGTGATATTTATATGTTGACAATTTTGTGATTTCAGAGAAGAAAAGTTCCACTCAATATAAGTAAATTGACACTTATTTGCTATAATTGGATATTATGCTTCAAATTGTATTAGCTTTTGATGAGTAAAGCTGCAAAGAGCTGATTTCCAAATGACCTTAAAATTGGTAATTTCTTACTATGTTTAACAACTTACAATGTAAAACATATTAGTCAACAGTTTAAAGCACAACCATGAATAAAAGAGTTTAGCCAGTTCATTTGTTAACTTATCATAATAGCAGTAACTGGTGCAATGCGCTCAGCATATATAATTTATAACTATTACATGTTAAAATATCAAGTTTGGGAATATTTTTAACATTAGTTGACTCTGCCTCAAATCCTAGGTTATAATTAAGTTGGATTATTTCTCCTATTCCATCTTGTTTATTTTTGTTTGAATTGTTAAGTTCTTTGAGATTTGTTTTAGTTCAGGATAGTAACAGGAAAAAGAAAATGATAGGAACTCACTGCAATGAAAAGATAGTTTGTTGAAGTATATTGTTATTATTGAGGTATTTTCTATTGGTAGTGCTGATTCTCTTGTTTATTATTTGAAGACTATTAAAGTATTGGCCCAAAGTTACTAAACTTCAGAAAAAAAAAAAAACCCTATCTAGGCCCATTATGCACATTGGCTTTTAGGGCTTGGTCCAAGTTTTTGTCTTCTTTTTTTTTTTTTTTTTTCCAAGTTTGTCCTTCCTTTTTTTTTTTGTTTTTCTTGATTTTTTATGTTTGCCAGTTTTTTTTTTTTTTTTCTCTTGATTTTTTATGTTGCAGAAAAAACAAAGGTACTCTCTTTTGAGTTATTGTTTAATGATTTGCATTGATTTCATCTGGGTCTCTTATTTTTTGCAGCTACTGTAAATTACTCATTCTGTTTATGGTGGGTGGCACATAGGAACCATTAATTAATAGTTGAGGAGCTAAATCAGGTCAGTATCTTCTTAAAAATTTGGTAACCTTTTTTTTTAAGAGTTTAACTCCAGATTAATTTTTGGCTTCTGAGGATATTTACCTTTCTTAGATATGATCCCAATTTGGGTATTGATTATCATTTCGTGTGCTTCTTCGGAAATATTTACGCTTGTTTGCTGCTTCTTTTTTTTTCTTTCTTTCACCTTTTGGTTCTCTCTTTATTTTCTTTTTGGAATCCATTTTGAGTTCAAATGGGTTCTCTAAGGATTTGAATTTGCATTGAAGCTTTTCTTGTGAATTTTTTTGGTTTATATCTATTTTCTTTTCTCAATCTGCCACAACATTTTACTTTGACAAGATAGTTCTTCATTAAACATATTTGTATAGTGCAAAGCTTGAAAGATGGATTCTTTTGTGTAATTTTTCTTTCAGTTTATTGTTTGTCACTTTTATATTTGTTAAAAAAACAGGTGCTCTGTCTAGTTGCTTTACTCAACCAGTTCTCTTTAAAAAAAATTGTGACTTCTCTCCATATGGGTATTAATAATTGATGTTTCTTGAAAATGCTCTTTGAGAATGAAGCATTATTTTAAACTAAATCTCATACTCGAGAGATTATGAGTTACACTTGCGGATACAGTTTTAATGAAAAGTTGCCTATGCCAGAGTGCCAGCAGCAATATTTGAGGGATTTTGGGTTAGGGGATTCAAAGAATACATGGATTTGGATAGGATATATTAGTTTTTATAGTGCTATGAGGAGAGAATTTATGCAAATTTGAGAAATGTTTCATTTGCAGAATGGCTATAAGATAAGGGATTTGAAATCCCATCTGGTGAAGGAGATAATATAAGGGATTTCACTGACTTTTGCCTCCATAAATTGTCTTAGAACTGTACTAGTTTGTATTCCAAATGGTGGATTTTTTCTTAATCCATTGAAGGCTTTTCCATGGATTTGGACAATAACATTTGCAGAAGAAAAAGATGAGCGAGACGAGACCAGTGCCGAGGAGAGAGAGTCCATGGGGAACGCCAGAAGGAGAGCATCGTCAACCAAAAGCACACAGATGCAATGATCGAGCTGAAGATGTTATCCAAGTAATTTTCTACTATTAAAATCGTTAAAATTTCCCTTGCTTTTCCTCTATCTAGTGTTATTATTAAGATTTTGGAGAGTCTTTGTGTAAAATAGTCAAGAGTTATGAAAATTTTTCTTAAATCTTGTGTTTTGCTGCATACCATCTTTTGGTTTGGTTATGGTGAGCTCAAAGTAAACCTCATAAAACAGTAATTTTCTAGTGATTAAAATGGTATAGTCTTAGATATTTGAACTATTTGGTAATGCATAATGGTTGTTCTTATTTGGATTAACTAGTCTTATAAATGGAAGAGCTGTTAACAGTAAAGCAATTCAAAAATTATAAGCAAGCTTTGGTGATGCTTCCTCATATGGTTTTTCTTATGTTGGATTAACTAGTCTTGTAAATGGAGAAGTTGTTAGCAATAAAGAAATTCAGAAAATGATAAGGAAGCTTTGGTGATGCTTCCTCATATGAGCTTTGGTGATGCTTCCTCATATGGTTTTTCTTATGTTGGATTAACTAGTCTTGTAAATGGAGAAGTTGTTAGCAATAAAGAAATTCAGAAAATGATAAGGAAGCTTTGGTGATGCTTCCTCATATGGTTTTGCAACTGCTTAGATAGAAATGAAACTAAGTTTTGATAATTAATGTGTTGAGGCTATGGATTTGTGATGAATGGTACTGAGCACAGATTTCTTCATATATATATATTATTTTTATAATGAAATGAATACAAGGAGAATTTTTTTTTTTTTTTTTATTTAATGTGTTGTACATCCTCTAGATATATTCTTTACAAGGGATGAGAAGTCATGAATAAACAATAGGGTGATTTATTAAATTTTTCTCATCGATAACTTCAGACAGGTAAGGCCATCTTGAACCTTTTCTCATGCCAAGGACCTGTAGATGTTGGGTCCTTTCTTGGGCATAGATACAATGAATATAATACACGCTAAGCATCTTGCTTGACATGATACTCCAGAAAAATGTGCATAGATAAAGAAATTTTAATTTTAAGTTGTAACAACCTTTAGCGATCAATCTGACTACTTTAATGGAACAATTGACTATTTTCTTATGTTGTATGGAGGTGTTTTTACCAATGGTCCAAATTGTGGCTCCTAATTATTTCTTATATCTCGCATTCACTTTGAGATTATTTTAGAAAATATATAAATCAAAATATATAACAAAAGTCTTTTTAAGTTAGGAAAGGTTTTTTCCATTGTTTACATTTCCATAAGCATAAGAAATTTTTTTCTTGATAGATTCTTCTATAAATATTAATACTCCTATTCTATAAAAATATTCTTTTTCCTTTTTTACTTGTCTCAAATTATAATCTTATTTCTCTTTTCATAAGAGAATAATCTTTATTGTTTTCATTCTACTCTTGCTTGATGTGCATCTTTATCCACAGAATATTGCTAAAAATAGACATTTAAATTTATAAATTAAAAAAAAAAAAACCTATAAAAACATATTATGAACAAAAGAAAATTAAAGAAAATTATAATTTAATCATATTAATCATATTTTCTTAATTTGTGTGAAAATCAAATTAAGCCTATTGTCACAGGATTGAGAAATAATATTTCTAAATGGCTTTAAGATCTGCTGAAAAAGGAAGCTCAATATGAATGCATAAAAACTACTGCCTCTGTCCTCAAACAACTGTCGTTTTATGTTAGTTCTTTTGTCCACAAATATTTATCGCTTTGAAAATATCAATAAGTAACTAATGAATTTTTCCCAGTTTTATCCTTATTTATATTAAACATAATAACTATTTCTACAATTTTCTATATATGTTGAGACCAGAGTAATGAGAGAGCATATCTTTTTCATTATAAATCCCAAAAGGAAATGAAGAATACGTTTATGCTTACATTGAACTTGAGGAATGTTACTTTTTTAACAGCAATTAAAATGTTGTTCTTGAATTTGGGAAGGAAAGCAAGGATTGAGCATATTGAAGTTGCAGGAAAGGAGAAAGGAAAGTAAGGAGCTAACAGAAGATGATGCAAGGGGAAATAGTATAAATATTTTGCAGCCCTATTTATTTCTGAAGTTTTAATTCTAACAACCAGGTCGAATAGAGAGTTTTGATACAGCTGACCAACTTATTTGCAGCTAAACCTTCGTTGAGCTGAGGATTTGTAAAACTTACCATTTCTCCTTGTCCTTAAAATGAGATTGAAAAACTATCCTTATTTTAAGTTCTAAGATTTCCCCTTCATAAGTGATATATATTGTTAAAAGGAAAGGAATCAAAATAACATTTAATCATTTTAAATTCCAGAAGGTAATGTTTTGTTCAGGTTCTGTACTTGAGACAATAAGATTGGTCATTTTCCATTAGGCACACATACACTCCATTTAAACTAAAAGAATATTGCTTTACATTGACGTGTCTTCAATCAATGTTATGGAGAATTGAAGTGAACTCCATGATCCAGCTAATTTGCATTGAAAAATGAATATGGTTGATATGCTTCTTTTTATTGCATTAGTTGAATGCATTTGTCCATCTCTGCTATGTAGGCTTGTTTTGAGGGGAACCCATTTAAAACAGTTCCAGGACCTTTTAAGCTCTTTTGGCAATGCATGCGCTCCAAGCCTGGGTATGTTTCAAATTTACTTTGGAATATACTTGTTTATGTTTTCCAATAGATTTCATTAATATTCTTGACTTTTTTCATGGGCTTGGATTAGTAATTTTAGCCACAGATAATGGCAATGTCTTTTAAGTTGCTTTTATTATAAAATATTGTGTGATCTAGACTGGACAAATTAAGGCCTAGCGTGGTTGCTTCGATATCTCTTTGTTGATCTGCACATAATGGTAAAATTGTAGGATTTTTTTTTTTTTTTGTAAAATTGTTAGGATTTTTTTTTTTTTTTTGGGGGGGGGGGGGGTTGGTGTTAAAAGTATTAATATATTAATATTAATATATTTATGGTATTGCCTCGCATATATGCTTAATTAAACTAGTTAAATGTTATTATGGAATCCAAATATTAGTCATTGAGCTCCATGGGAATTCAGGGTGAGGGCGGTATGGGAGGTAGTATTCTCTATCCCTGCCCTGTTCATGTTGGAATCCTTGTCCCACTGTCATCCTCCATGTTGACCTTTTTTTTTTTTTTTTTGCTTCTTTATGTGAGAATTATACTGGTGTTATTGAACATTAGTGTATTGTACTTTTTTGGTCATTTTGCAGGGTAGGAACCAACAAGAGCCATACACTTATTTGCAGATGAATCCCACCAAAGAGGAGAGGTGATGAAACTTGAGTGATATAATTTTCATGATGCTTTTATAATTGACTTCTTTTTTTTTTTTTTTTTGCTTCTTTATGTGAGAATGTATTACTGTGTTATTGACATTAGTGTATGGTACTTTTTGGTCATGCAGGGAGGAACCAACAGAGCCATACACTTATTTGCAGATAGATCCACCAAAGAGAGAGGTGAAACTTGAGTGATATAATTTTTCATGATGCTTTTATAATGACTTCCTTTTTGTTCAGACCAAAATGATCTTGAAGACTTTTTGGCATATGACAATGCCTGACCACTCACTAATGTATAAATTTTAGAGCCACAGATAGTGGCTTTCTGATTTTCATAATAAAAATGGTTCAGCATCTTTTGGTGATGTTCATAGAATTATGCGTGTTATTTCTGTTTATAATGGAATTGCTTAAAAAATTATTCGCATATTGGTTGTGTTTGACAACAACTTTTTAAGTAGATTTCATCATTTAATGCTATTTTTATAGTATTCGGTAACATGACGTTTGAATTAGTTTTTATAGGTTAAATAGCGTTTTATAAAAGCTACTCTAAACAGCTACTAGCTACTAAAACAGCTAATAGTTATCAAAATAATTAATTTTTCCAAACAAATCCATTGTTGTTGAACATGGATAACTGCCAACTAGAAAGCCAAATTTTTGCAAGGAAAGCAAGAATCTGCAATATAATTTTTACCCTATAATAATAGTGATTCCCATTGATCTGAATGGGACTTATATTGGTGTTTTTACAAACATTATTTAGTAGAAAGATAGCATTACATAGCATTACAACTCATAAGAGCCGTTTGGTCTCCCAAATGACTGTTTGGTACTCTCTTTCTAAAGCATCCCTCCCCTTGTTTTGCTGCAATGCAAGCCTTTCATCAACTCTTCCAAATAGCAGGAAATGGGCTTCCAAGGAAAGAGAAATGTAAAATTTTTTCTTCTTTCCTTTTTTTTTTTTTTCTTCCTATTTTCTACAGTATCTGAGCATCAGCCGCCTTTATTTATACAAGGAGACGATGACCTCTCCATAGTTGTGAACAAAACAACTCGCAAAGCCACTGGATAACAGAAAAATGTGTCCGATGGCCGGTTGACCTGTAAATTACTTTGCTGGTGGTAGTGGTGGAGTGCAAGTGCAAGAAGATGAGGCTCTTGCTATGTACTAAATTGACAGTGATTAGTGTCTCCCTTTCAGAAATCAATAATAGGCTCTCCAATTGTGAGATTTCGCTCAGGAGCCCATGGCAGATCAAAGAGCTTTGCTGTTATGAATTTGAAGATCTTATTTACATTAATGTTGTAGGTTGCACTTGAAAAGAAGAGTGTAGCATTCAGAGCCTTCGCATATGATCTTGCCTGTAAGAAGGGTTATTGTATTCAAAAATTACATCACATTTCATTATTGGCTCACCAAATAGATAAAAAAGATGCCAAAAATTTGTTAATTAATTGGGAAACTTTGCACAAAACTCTTGCATAAATTAGATTTTTATTGAATTCCACATGGAAATTTGGTAATCTAATAATGCAAATTACGTAATATTGCCCTTTTCTGTTAAATTTTACATTTTTTTTTAACTTTTATAAGAATTAAAAAAATAAGGACAATTAACTAAATTACCTTTTAATTAATGCTTTCTAATTATAAAAATGTTTAGTGCAAATATTTAGATGAAGTAAAATTGAAATAAAATAATTAATACTACTTTAATTTTCTAAAAGTGCTATCTAAAAGGGGAAAGAAAAAAAAGGTTAATAATTACTTCTCAGTCCCATTTTATTTGCTTGTTATTCCTTTTTTGGATATCTCAAAATGTTTGTGAGGTTTTTAAATTAGATATTTAAACAACTATTTTTTCAATAATAACATTTATGATTGTTCATTAAATGAAAAACTGTTATTAATATTTAAATGAATTAAAGATAAAAAATAATAAAATAATTTTTATTGATTAAATTATCAATATACATATCTTGTGAAACTATACAAATAATGGAATATCAAATTTGACGAGGAAGGACGGAGCAGTGAATTCTCCCTTACCCAAAGACAATGGTTTGCAATAAATTTGCACAGAAATTAAACAAACGGAAAATGACACTTTTCTTAAAGATTGAATGCATGTTTTTCTTATTAAAAGCATTGATGTAGACATGAGTCTCCAAGTCTCTTCCATCATTATCCAAATGGATACATCACAATTCTAAATAATTGCTGGATCTAACCAAACAATGCATGATTTCTAGTCCATTTTTTATTTTAGAAATTTAAGAATATGTTATTTTTTGTCTATATTCAATAGCATGTGATCTGGCTTCTTGGCCTCTACAACCTATTTTTGGGATAGGTTTCGATTTATTATAATGATTATTATTATTGTTTTTACAAATGCTATAGTTAACCAAAACTGTGAGATTTATTTTTTGATCAAAAATATGAAATTCGTTTTTAGAATATTAAAATTATAATTTTACAATTAGACTTGTTTTTAGGGCTATGATGAAGTTACAATTTTAAATCCTAATCAATATCAAATGTAAAAAATTATATAAATAATTTAGGTAGAATTGGGTACCGAGAAGATCCGACACCCGTATTCGTCTACCCATATAAAATATATACCGTCCTCTAGATAGATAAAACAAGTCAGGTTTTATTTTTAGAATCTACATCCATTCTATTTTTAAATGGATGAAACGAATAAAATTAACTCCATTAAAATTAGATTTGAACAGTATATGATGAAACCAGTAAAATTAAATTACCATTCCTAATTGAATATGATTTGAAGATGTTTTAATGTTACCTGGTTGGCAATTGCCCATTGCAGATCCATTGGAAGCTGAATGAAATCGTCAAACTTGGTCCCTATAATTATTGGAATTGCAGTCTAAAAAAAAAAAACAAAAAGTTATTATTTACATGGATTAAGCAAGAAATGTTTTTTTATTTTATATTTAATTACATTTTTAATAAATGAAAAAAAGAGAAAAAAAAAAGCATTATCTACCTGATTCCATTTCCTTGCTTCTTGGTACCACCTTATGACACTGCAATATAAAGAGAGAAAAAAAAACCATATATACACTTTAAATAACAGAATAATCATTAAAACTATAATAATAATTTATCCACAAAATAAATTAATAATGGAAGTGACCCATTTAAAGAAAAACAGACCCATTTAAAGTGACCCGACTTGTAAGATCAAACATGATTAGAATTGCTACAGAATCCTTGCAAGCAACAGGAATTTGGTGCCTGGCTCCTTCGTCACCTACACCACAATTATTATTTAATATTTTTTTTACAAAAAAAAATATTAACATAAATTCAATTTTTTCAAAAAAAAAAAAAAAGAAAAAAAAGAAAATAAGAGAGAAAATAACAAACTGACCATCTATCTCCCAGAGACTGTAAGAAATACGTGCACCTTTAACCAATAATGTCTTATCCATCATAATCATCCCATCTTTCACCATTCCTCTCTCTTCTTTCTCATTCCCCACATACTTGGCCTTCATTCATAATCAGCAACATAATTAATTAATTAATTAATTAAGATTGTACACTAATAATCATAATTGCCAATTTATTTGTTTAAGCATACTTTTTTTAATAGATTAAAAATTCTTAATTTCATAGAATTTCAAGCTAAATCTCGAATTAATTATTGCATGTTAATGAGTAAAACATAAACGAAGATTAATAATAATAATAATAATAATAATAAAGAATAATTTAGTTACCAGAAAACTGGTTTTTCCAATCCGGCAATCGCCCAACAGACTAATCTTCAAAGAAACCAAATCGGAATCCTTATTCTTATTACAAATCGCGGCACTCGGAGACGTCGGAGCGACATTGTCCGAGACGAATTCGCGATCTGCTGAAGAAGAAGCCGGCAAGGGAAGCGGCTGCAACATCCGATAATGGACAGGCTTCGCTAAAGAACACATAACAATTTGATTCCAGACACGAAAAATGCAGCGTCTAAGAATCGACATTCGATAACTAGCTTTCCTTCTGAGATTGAAACTACCCATATTTATGCTGTTAAAACCAATAAAAAAACCAAAACGACTAAGTTCTGTGGCGGTTAATCGGAAGGAGAGTTGAATGATGGCCTGAGGAAGAAAACGAGGGGGATGATAGGATATATCTATTTGGCCATGAGGGAAAATGGAAGCAGAGGTTTGCTCTTAGTATTTCTAATAATTTGAAAGAGTGATGGGTATTTTTGGAAATTTGCTAAAGAATTTTTAATTTTCAGTTGCAAATAACAACTTTTTAGCTATCAATCTGACTACTTTAACGGAAGAATTGACTATTTTCGTATGTTGTCAGGGAGGCTTTTATACCAATGGTCCAAATTGCCGGCTCCTAATTATTTCTCAGATGTTGCTTTCACTTTGAGATTATATTTTAGAAAAAAAAAATATATAGACATGTAATAACAAATTTTTAAGTTTTAGGAAACTTTTTGATAAACATAATTTTTTTTTTCTTAATAGAATGTTAATACTCTCTTTCCATACAAAAATATCCAATTATTTTTATTTATAGAAACTCAAGATTCTTCTAAGCGAGAAGATCAACTTCGACTATATCTAATTGACATTCTCTTTCTTTTTTAACTTTTAAGTCATAATTTTATTTATTTTTCATAAGAAAATAACCTTGTAGTTTTTTTTATTTTGCTTTTGTTTTATGTCTATCTTTATCCACTGAGTCCACAAACTATTGCTATTAATTAAAATTTGAAATAAATAAAATATAGATATTTTAAAATTGAATTAAAAAAATATTATATTGAGAAAAAATGACTAAAAACTATAATTTAAGCCTCTCGTATTAATTATATTTTTTAAGTTTTACAAAAATCAAATTAAGCTTATTTTTTAGGATCGAGAAATAATAGTTCTAAATGAATAAGACGAGAGTGTGCCGTGAAGATGTGCTGAAAAAGGAAGTTCAATATGAATATATAAAAACTATGGTAGTTCTTATAAAGAATAATTTACATCCATAAATATTTATCACTTGAAAAAATATTTGAAATAAAGAATAATTTATTCAAGTTAATGGATGTTTTATTATAACTTAAAAGAATAATTTAAAAACTATAAATAATTATGGAAGAATGGAGTAATAAGAAACATACAAATATATCCCTCGAAAGAAATAAATATAAATTCTCCTAAAGAAAATATAGGCTCTGTTTGTGTCAGTAAAACAATTCATAGGAAAATATTTTTCACAATTTTTCATTATTTGGGGGCGTTCATGAAAATAAATCAATGGAAAATATTTTCCTGGTCAAAAGAAAATTAAGTCATTTTTAAGAAAATAACTTCTCATCTCCAAGAGCGTAAAACATTTTCCGGATTTTGATAAACTTATTATAACCTTATAAAGTCATATTTTCTTAATTTATTAATTATCGTAGCTATTACCATCACTCACCGTTCACTATCACCATATACCGGCGACTTTCATAATTTACCTTTTTCGCATTATTTTCATATTTAACAATAAAATTTTTAAAATAAAAATTTATATTATTGGTATTTTTATTTTTATGGTCTTTGAGTTAAAAATTTTAATATTTTTACCTAATTTTTAAAGTACAATTAAATAACAAAAAATAAATTATTTAAAAAATGTTTTTCAAAAAAATATATTTTTCAAGTGTAATTTATTTTTCAAAAACAAAGGGACCCATAAATATATAAATACATAAACAATCTTTAATTTATGAGAGCTTTGCGGCTAGCTATTTTCGCGCTTCCACTAGCAGCTCCACCTCCATAAAACTTCCAGAATTATTGTTTTCCATTAAATGACCATTATGTCCTTACACGTTGCGCACTGTTATGCCTTTGTCCACTGAAAACTTGAAAAGTTTAATAAATAATTAGGACAACTGTCAGTTTTTCATGAATTCTTGTAAAACAAGTACTTTTTTTAGCTGCAACGTGTTGTAAATATAGTGTTGACTATTTTGAACAATATAAATTTCTTATTTAAAACGTTTCACTATATTTGGATCGATAGAAAATAAAGGAGAAATGAAAAATTGAAAAGGGAAATAACTTTTTTTTTTATTTCTTTAAGGAAATTAAAATAATGTAGAAGGAAGAAAGTTATGGAAGGAAAGTCTCTAATTTGGGAGGAAAATAATCAAAATTGCCTCTAATGTGTTGTAAATTTCGTATTTTTTTTTAATGATGATTAAATTTATAATTTTCTATTCATAAAATCATTTTTGGTTGGTTATTTCCCCTCACAAATCCAAAAATAAGAAAAGAAAATAAAAAGTTAAAAAATATGGACTTTGATATTTTTTTATAATTTTAGTCAATTCTTTTAATTTTGAATTATAATAATAATTTTTTTATTATAATTATAGTCTCATTTATGTGTTTGTTAAAAGTCATTGACATTGCAATCAGTGAGATTTTGACATCATCATTGCCACATCATCACGCCACATTCGGTAAAAAAGTAAAATAACTAAAGAAAGTTTAAATTTTGATGTTTTTGTAATTTTAGTTAATTCTTTTAATTTTTATATTTAATGCCGTGAATTTATTTCTTTTTTTACAATTTTTAAAAATTTTAAAAATTATTTAATTTTTAAAATTTATTTATTTAAAAATATTATTTTGAATTACCATAATTTATTTTTATTTTTTTAATTTTAAAATTTAAGTTAAATGAAAAATATAATATAACATACTTGTGTGTTATAATATTATTTTAGTCTTTTGAAATTTTTGTATACTATATTAATTATTAAATAAGTAGTTAATTAAATAATAAATTTTACTTGATAGATTGATAGGCTGTAATTTGGAGAATCATTCATATTATATCATGATTCAATCCCCTCTGATAATGAGTCACTTGTTGGGATTCAGTCTCACAATCATCACATCAAGCCTGCAATCTCAAAAAGTCTTCCATGTACTCATCAATCTTTCGATTTCCCTGAAAACAGGCATGATATCTGTTATATAGTATTTGGGAGTGATCACTGGGAAGAAAACGTTGTTCAATCGACTATTTCATTAAAATCCAATCTTGCACAGGTTCAATCCTTCGACGAAGGTGTTCATTTTGAGCAGATTGCCACCATGCTGCTATACCTCCTTTCAGTTTATATGCCATAATGGAAACTTTATGCTCCTCTTTAACATTCATGATCTCAAAGAAACGTTCTACCGCTACTAACCAATCAAGAATGCTTTCAGCATCTAAAGATCTTGAGAAAGATTGAAGATCTACCTTTATTTTGTATCCATCATGAAGATTCTCACCACTACCTCTGTAATTTCGGCCTCCATCATATTGATTTTGGCGCCTTCCATAATCTGGTGGTGCATTAAATTCTGCTTGATTTTCAGGATAATGAGCGGCAAGACGTCTACCAGGAATCACTGCAGGATTTGGTTGTTGCAGATTCAGTTCTGTTGTTGCAACTGCAGGTTGGGGGTTGCCTCCTTGTACTATGAGGGTCAACTGTCTAATCTGCTCTGCTAAATCTTTAAACTTCGTCTCTAAAGCTGTAAATCGTGCTTCTTGATTTTCGGCTATGGAAGCTTTGATACCAACTGACGCAAAATGGTAACGTGAATGGATAGACGGTTATACTCCGTCAGGAGTTTTGATCAATATCGTTTGATTTGACGAATAAAAAAGAGAGCTAAACTTTCAAAGAAGTTTATTGAGTTTGAATGATGTTCAAAAATAGTGTGCCCTCTCAAAATAACAAAGTAACCCATTTATAAGTTTGGGTTGAAACATAAAACCCTAAAATAAAACACAAAAAACATAACTGGACACATCAATAGAAACTAAACTCCAGGGAGCGGCACTGGCGTGCTGTCATGGGACACAGGCGTGTCTTGGACTCTAGTGAAAGGCACGGACGTGCTGTCATGGACACGGGTGTGTCCCTTCTTAGTCTCAAGGGTATTTTTATTCTAGGCTCTAGAGAGAAGCATGGGCGTGCCGTCATGGACACGGGCGTGTCCCTTCTTCTTAGGCTTGCAGCGGTCCAAGTCTTCCATATATTGAATCACAAGTTGCTCCGCATCACCTACTTATAATTGAGTCAAGTACTAGCAATCTAGTACCATAATCGGTATTTGGAATTGTTTTATACTATAAATGCGGGATCATGATAAAAGAATTAGACTTAAGGACAATATTAGAGAGCCCCAAATCAAGTGTAGCGGACAGGCCAAGGATGGCAGCTTCAACTTCGACATGCATGGTCATGTTAAGAAGGGAAGCTATGATTCTTCAGTCTAAAGCCTATGATAACACATGTTTCATTGCTGATTACAAAGCCAAGACCACAACCTTTATCCCGCAAGATAACAACATCCGAGTTTACTTTAAACTAGTTAGAAGGAGGAGAACTCTATTTCCGAGTTGCACCAACATTAATAGACAACATGTTATACTAAACAGGTCGCGAATTTTTAGAATGATAATTATGCAATAAGCCAAGACCCATTTGAACAACTTGTGGAAAGGATATATCCTTCTGCTAGAACTTTTGCAAATTTCATGCTCTCCACATTGCCCAAGCAACAACTGTGAAAATGTCCCTATGATCAATATGAAACTCAACAAATAAAATCGTTACCCAATTCAAAAAATCTTTTGAATCGTGCAAGTCTGTTTTGAAACAGAGGGGACATAGCTTCCATGATTGTTTAGCCTTACCATAGTCTTTCAAACAATGAGTTATGGTCTCATTTGCAGAATCACATATCTTGCAAATAACATTACAATGTATGCGTCTACCAATCAAAGAAAATAGAACCAGAAGCTGACTTTTTGTAGCTCAAAACAGGAAGTGTTCAACCTTCAATGATATATTTGGATTTCAGAAGGTCTTCCAAATTGATGTATCAGTCGGAGACGAAGAAGACGCGAACTGAGAAGCAAAAGAGCATCAAAAGCTAGCTGATAACTAGTTTTGATATTGTTTGATTTTTTTGCGCCTCTAAAGGAAGGAACACCACATTGATTAATTCATCGTTCCAGCCAAGACCTTCATGGTTGATCAACTCACTAACCCTAACATTTTCTCCTAAAGTATTAATTGGAGAACATATCGCAGAGTAATTAAGATCTGGAACCCACCTATCTTTCCATAAACAAATTGATTCCCCATTTTCATATA